ATATATATATATATATACACACACACAGAGAAGGGATTTTTTTTCTTCAAACATATAAACACGCAACTTTTTTTACAGTTTACTAAGTTTATACACTTTTTTTAATCTGTTTGGGGCATTAAATTTTTCTTCAATTGCCTTATAATGAAAATGTAATTTTTTTCGCTTTTCTAGAGTTCCTTTGTGCGCATATTTATGTAGAAATAAACATGTATATGCTTTACATAAATAAATATCAAATATTGGGTTGAAAGTTGTATTTTGTAATCACTTAATTAACTGATGTGTTGATGATGAATTAGAAGGTTGTTTTATTGATCTGGTAAAACAAACCAGCCGTGCCATCTTACAACAGGTCCTCCCTACTTCTGTCTTCCCACAACGACCCTAACCCTCCTTATTTAGTAACAGTTTCTAGTGTTTTAATTAAAGGAAACATTTGATACACCCGATCGCTCAAACTCATGAACGTTGAACCAACAAATTGATACTGTTTAGCGCTTTGTAGTGAATGTGCCGTCACATATACGACTTTTGAGCCTAGCGCGAGCTTCGATTAATCCCTAGTTCCTGCGTTCCATTTAGTGAGCTGAACCAAAGCGTCCATTTTACTTAATATACACTGAAAGCTTAACTCGAAGGAATGGAATTCTTGTCTGTTAACGATGTCTGCTTCGAGCCAAATTATCCTCAAGTCACTGACTACATATAGAAATACATGTGCAGTGATGATATAGCATTTTAATAAGTCATTTAGCTCTCTGTATTAGTAGTCGTTCAACACATTCACGCGATTTCATTGTGTGCGTGACTACCATGGGCAAACTTTATATATTGAATTTTTGATGATACCATTGTTGTATATTTGCAATTAAGCAAAATACAACAATAGAGCTATATTCAAACACACACACACACATATATATATATATATATATAGAGAGAGAGAGAGGTGAGTCTATTAGATGGTTTATTCCTGACAAAATGACGCCAGTAGTATAATACCTAAATTACAAATATGTTATGCTTACCGACACTAATTAAAAGAAAGTTGAAGATTAGTTATCATTAAGCCAACTGTTGAAATTACATCAATTAGATGGATATTACGAACATTAATTAGACAAGAAAAAAAAAATTGACGGTTCCCAATAAAGTAATGATTGTGTCTTTCAATCTCTCATTACGTGTTTGACTGATTAATGAGGTTTATTTATAACATAATTACCTTTTAATTGAATAACTTATAAAACATTTCGGTTAAAAATTATTTATATTAGAGATTATGTAGAATATTTCACATATAGTCCACTAGATAATCTTTTTGAAATTAGAAAATTAAATTTGACCTCGAAGATAATGAACGTGTTCATTGTTGTTTGATCATCTAACATTTAGTTACTTTTCAAAAATGCTGGCGGCGATTGGCCTGTTAAGACTCTCAGAACCTAGATAACCTTTCCTGCTGTTTTCCTGCGATTCACAAAGCGCACTATCTTTACTGTTGGTGTTGGAGTGCTTTCCGCTGAAAATGATACACATGCACGTACAAAGAATCCATTGGAGCGTACATACATCAGAGCAGCTCTTAGGCAGATTGCTTTCAAGGCGGGGCTTAGTGATCACGCGGTTTTGACTGGCATCTATCAAACTGATGAAGAGTAACCGTTCTTGGAATAGTGAATTCCAATTGGTGGATAAAGGACAGCAAAATGCACAAGCAGAAAGGACCACGTGGGTAACAGAGTACCCCCATATATGACCGATTTTTGTATGTTGATAACGCCAATCATTGTGTGTACCATATTTGGGCTGCACTGCCTACTAGTAACGTGTAACTGTGGGCGCCAACAACCGCTAGGGCGTTGTGACCCGTCGCGCCGTGTGTGGCGTTCTCACCCTGCGGCAAGCACTTTGGGCGGACTGGCAGCCATCATTGCATGCCTAGTCTACGTTACTCTAAACCGCAAGGTCTCCTGTCCTTGAGCATCAACACAGTTAGAATCGTTCGCTTCGTCTTCAGTAACTTTGGAGGGAGTTTATAGGACAGAAGTGATAGCCGAGAAAATGGCGCGTTTGAACAGTGTTGATTGTTTCTTAAAATGACGTATAAAATTACAAGGTTTTTCAACAATCAAAAAGTGTGACTTCAGTGAGGTTTAAGGGAAAAAGAGAATTGTTTGTGATTTTATCGAGTGACGGCAAATAATACAAACCCCGTGGAGTGTTTTGTTAGTTTACCCCGAACGACAGAAAGTACCGTTGTTGTAAGACTTGTCTGTCAACAGAACATTTGGTCTTGCGGAATGTATCCGAACAGACATCCGGTAAGTAGAAAAACAAAGTTGTAACGTAAGGTATATTTAAGATTTCGTGGTGCTTTTAAATACAAAAGTGATATATTAAAACTTAGCACATTACAAATATACTGCCTAATTTATTACAAAACACTGATAATTTTGGTCTTATAATTAATTAACCTCAATAAACATTGGTAGAATATAATCTGATCTGCACTGAAAAGTTAAAATTTTATGATCGTAGTATGTCAGTCAGACAGAACGTTATGGATTTTCCCAATCACCATTCTCAACTACAATTGTTCTCTTTTCATAACCCCATAATTAAATCTTTTTAAATTTTATATCATCAGCATTTTATTGTTGTTGAAAATTTCTACAATGGTAGCTAATAAGTTATAATACAAAAAATTGTTTAACAAAAATTGCATAATTTAACACGGTTTGTTGTCTTTTGTGATCTGTGTATTACTATTGGATTGTGGTGTACGTATCCGAAGTAGGAGGTGTATATTGTTTGTACTGAAACACAGTTTGTTTCGCTATTGAACATGCCCTGTTGTATAGATTAAGGAATTATTGTTTTTATTTGAAAAATTTTGAACTTATATGTTTAAGTTCTTGTCTTCTGTTCTGATATATCTGGGCGAATCCTGATGAACAATTTCCGTTCTCCTTTCCTTCCAAGGGGGAAGGGAAAATGCCCTACCATTGCAATGCTTTGCACTCTGTCCTTGGGATCCTGGAAGCCAGTGAGGTACTGTACACGTGATTTCAATAATTTTCTTGTTTATTCTTATTTTGGCCGTATTTTTGAATTTTGCTCAAAAATTGAAATCTTTACACACGTATACTGACATTTAATCGCGGGTTTGGAATTTTGTTTGAAATTCATTAAAATATATATAAAAAAAAACAGACACTGTAGCTGTCTAGTTGTCGTTAAAATGGGCACGTGACAGAGCGTGTGTGTGTGATTTATTCGGATCGCATAGAACTGACGATAATACTATCACAAAGCACTGGCTTGCAGTCTCAGTTTTAAATTTATCAACATTAGTTTGATAACTGCATTTAGTGTTCTAACTACGTTACAGATTTTAACTTTGTTTTAGACGCTACATAAGATCACATTGTATTTTGCTATTCAAACTTAACTTTAGAGAAAATATTATCTAGCATGACTTGAAAAAAGTTCCTAAAATATTAGCTAGCTTGATTTAATTGAGAAAGTTATTTAGAGTATTATCTAGCACAATTTAATTGAAAAAAGTTACTTAAAATATCATTTAGCACAATTTTACTTGAAAAAAACAAACTTAAAATACTATTTAACTAGAAAAACTTACTTTCTTGCAAGCCACCATTAGTTGTAGGCTTAGAGAAATTTGAAGCTACGTAGAGCAGTAGGTAATTCGTTATTAAAATGTTTAGAAAATTTGACTTTAATATATTGAACAGTCTAAATAAAGCCGAAAAAAACAAAGCTTGTAATAATTAAATTACATTATGTGACGAAGTTGCTTGTATTTCTTTAAATTGTAGCATATAATTTGGTTTAGTTCCAAACATATTTTTTAATTGATTGGAATCACTAGACTTGGATATATCCTGTAGCTTTGAGTTTGTTATTTGATGTTTATTTTAAGGCAAAGAGTTATGTTTTATTACATTCCTTTTTAGCCAATACATAATACATATAAATAAAAAATAATAATGTTGCTTAGGGAAACAAAGTTAGACTCGTTGAAAAGAAAGAATATTAGAAATTCTGTACTGCTACCACACAGGTAGTACAAGTTTTTAACACATTCAAACAACGTTTTATATTTGTTATGGTGTGAACGCCTTTTGCTGACAAAACTTGATAATAATCAATTATGTTTGTCATACTATTATGCACTCGAAAAACCCTGAGGGATCAAGGAAAGAATGTGGTCTTTAAAAATACAACTAGCCTAACACTATTATCTTGTGACAAATATAATGGATTATAATATTTAATATTGTTGTTACGTCTTCTATTGTTGGGCGGGTTCTTTTATATTTTCTGTAGAAAGAAATAATGCAATGTGTCCAGTTTATTTAATGATAACGAAAGCGTTTTATTCCTTCGACTGTAAGTTCAACAACTTGCACGGTTTTAGTTAACTAAAGATAGGCTTAACTTCTCAAATAATGCTAAACAGTTGCTTGTTAATTTTTTCGTATCACACACACAAATAAAAGAAATACGTAATGTATTTGGAATACTGGACTGCTACCACACAGGTAACACTTTACTACATCTAATTAATATATGACAAATTCCGATTTACCCGGAATAAATGATCATTTTGCTTTTGTTTGTTTGCAAATGCAAAATATGTTCCATATGTTTAATAAAATTTAATATTGTTGAAAAAGAACGGAATGATCACAAGATCACTTATTTTATTCGTTCACGATGCTTTGTCTTATATTACTGAAGAGTACTCGAATATATTATGTAGTATTCCAGCTTGTAAGATTAATTTAATACGATGTTATGTTTATTATTTTTTTTCCTTATAAAAATTGGACCGTATTTTTTTGTTCGTGTAGGGCCCTGCTCCCCAACCGGGACAGCCGTTCAAGTTTACTGTTGGTGACACTTGTGACCGTATCAAGGAAGAGTTCAATTTTCTTCAGGCCCAGTATCACAGGTATAATGAGATAAGTTATAAGGACACATAAAAGTGTTTGTTTGTTTTTTCATTTCGCGCAAAGCCACACGAGGGCCATCTGCGCTAGCCATCCCTAATTTAGCAGTAAAAGACTAGAGGGAAGGCAGCTAGTCATCACCACCCACCCCCAACTCTTGGGCTACTCGTTTTACTAACGAATAGTGGATTGACGGTAACATTATAACGCCCCCACGGCTGAAAGGACGAGCATGTTTGACGTAATGGGAATTCAGATCCGCGACTCTCAGATTGCGAGTATAGCGCCCTAATCTTCTGATCATGCCAAACAAAAGTGAAAATTTAAAACTGTAAAAAACAAACGCAACGATTACCTCAATATATGGTTTAGCACTGAACAGTAGCGGTCGAAACTGTAACGACCTCATTGAATTTCGTCAACTCTATGTTGTTCTAATTGTTTAATTGTTAAGCACCACTAATGAAAGAACGGATCCAGGGAAGTGAGTAAAGTGCTAAAGCTGGCATAACTGCCAGCCAGCGGGTATAATTACCCGTTTTTAATTGGCCTTTAAGAGCAACATTTCGAAGATGTAGGCAGAACGTGTGCAGATTTCTGATGTAATCGTCCTCTTCCTGTGGTAATTATAATACATAACAGTTAATCTTGCAAGTCCACTTGAATGTTAAACGTAAGAGATTAACGGGATTATTAATGGCGCAAGGTTTCAGGGATATGTTAATAATTGACCACAGTATTATAAAAACAAACAGATATATATGTGTGTGTGTATAAATATGTTTACATATTTGCGTATGTGTTTATATATATATAAATATATATATATATATATATATATATATATATATA